GAATTCATGTATGAGTGACCTGGGGAAAGGAGGGAGAGGGCGATACAGAGGTGTAGTAACAGAGAATGCTTTGAGACACAAGGTTTTGTGAATAACAAATTCAGGTAAATATCAAGATACCTTGCAATATCATGCAATAGCCTTAGGGAACAAGAATGTGTATTTAAATTGAATAGTGTACCAAAAATAAGAGATTTAGGCTATTTAGTTCCTTCTAGGTCTTGGTGTTAAATCCATTGGTAACTGCCAAATTCAATGTCAATAAAAAAGGACACCTATCAATCGTAGTAAATATCTTCTCTTACAGCAGAAAGTGTGCAACCACATTTTGTTCTCTTACAGGGGCAAGTGTAAAGCCTGAACCAACAGCATCTCCTGTACCCAGTAAGTGTTATTACTATTGATTCCTGTCTTTGTGTGTGTATATTTAAAAGCATTTAAAAATTTTTACTAATGAGAATGTCTCGTGTCTTGGGAACAATATAGTCAGGTTACCATGTATCTTACAGAATACAAGACTACTGAGGATGGATGGATTATACATGAAGACAAACAGTATTATGTCAGCACAGAGAGTGTTCCTATGGAAAAAGCTCGAGAGTTCTGTAAAAGGAACTTTGGAGATCTTGCTGTCATTGACGGTGAAAGTGAAAGAAAGTTCCTCTGGCGATACGTAAGAAAAATCATTAATACTATGGAATAAATCACCCAAAACAAGTGAGCATGGGCACAGATCCTTTTCACCCCGGTGTTCTCCCTACAAGTTTTATGATAGTGAAAATGCAGTAGCATTAAGCCTGAGTAATATGAAGAAAAAACTCAAATCTTTTTTTTTAGATTATTTCATAGCTGAGATGACAACAATTTTGGTTTGGTATTTTGTACAGAAATAAGCACAGTTAGCATTAAAGAGATCATTATCTCCTTGTCCTACTCAACGTGTCAGTTATGCCACAACATATATATATCTGCAACTGGTAATGTGCTGAAGGAAATCTTAATGTTTAACTTTAATCTGTGGCTTCGTTGTAGCAAGTAGTATTATACTTGTGAGCTACAATTCTGTAAGGTGGATAAGTTAACTGAAAGCAAAGTTTATCAACAGATAAAACCAAGATACCTAAGTAGCAGGTCAAAACAGATATTGGCTTATATCATAGAATCATAGAATATCTGGGCTGGAAGGGACCTCCAAAGGTCATCTAGTTCAACCCCCGGCCATAAGCAGGGACATCTCCAACTAGATCAAGCTACTCAAAGCTTCATCCAGCCTGATCTTGAATGTCTCCAGGGATGGGGCCTCCACCACCTCCCTGGGCAGCCTAGTGGTCTGTCACCCTCCTATTAAAGAACTTTTTCCTAACATCTGACCTAAATCTACCCTTTTCTAGCTTAAAGTCATTACCCCTCATCCTATTACTAAAAACCCTTGTGAATAGTCCCTCCCCTCCCTGCTTTCTTGTAGGCCCCTTTCAGGTACTGGAAGGTTGTTTTAAGGTCCCCCCAGAGTCTCCTCTTCTCCAGGCTGAACAACCCCAACTCCCTCAGCCTGTCCTCATAGGAAAGCTGCTCCAGCCCTCTGATAATTTTTGTGGCTCTGCAACACTCAAAACATTGGCTTTTGATCCTGTTAGTGTATCTTAGATATAGTCTGCTCAGCAGCCTCTTTTTGATCCTCAGGTTTTCTCCTTTGCCTTCTTCTTGGGGGAAGGATATAACTATGCGGGAAGAACAACTTGAGGCATGGATTTTGTGATGAGAAAGAGCTTTTAAATAATATTTCCTACATGGCTGGGGTTGGTTGTCTGTTTATACTGTCTTGAGCTAACTTGTTTTAATCAGGAATATGCTTGAAAGTCACATTTGAGCTACATAGAGCTTTTTCTGAACTGACTGAAGAGTGGCAGTGAGATGATATAGGACCTACAATGGCTTATATCCAAATTGTAGGAAGGCTTGTTCCTTGCATGAAATTTGTCAGATGGTCTGCTGCAGAGACTGTGCAAGAGATGCTGATTTCAGCGACTTTCAAGCAAGACTGTGAGAAGTGTTGATATAGTGACCACACCTTTTGGCCAGTGGTGAAGTTTGACTGCGGACTGTCAACTGGGAGCTTCTTTAACTTAAATGTTGTAGCTAGAGGATATGGTAGTTCATAGCCTCTGTCGGTCAGACATGTATTACTCATTATGAAAAGAATAGATTTATATAATAAAAAAGGACATTTATACAAGTCTTTACATTCTAGATCTTGAAAAATGGCAAAGAGGAGTCATACTTCATTGGTTTACAACTGAGTGTTGACCAACGGACAAGGTAGGCCAACTAGAACCATGAAGCTTGCATTGTGCTTGAAAATAATCTACTGAGCAGAGCAAAAGTGATGACATGCTTAAATAAAATTGTGGCCTGTCAAAGCAAATGGGAATGTTTTTCCTCTGATTTCTGTGAAATTCTCATGTTTAGTGTTTTTTGATTATGAAGGTTATAAAAATGTCTTCTTTAGTAAATATACCACAATGCGCCTTTATATTTAATCCATTTCTTTTTGAATCCTATTTGTGTTGTTAAGAACTCTTGCCCTATTACTACTACGGTTATTTTATGTTTGATTATAATATGAAAAAAGCTTGATTTGAATTTTACTCTCAGCTGTTTTCTGTGTTGTCCATACTCCAATGAAATATGGCTAATGTAAGGAATTAAAAAAAAGAAATTACTTTTGATGCTGGTGAAAAATTTTCTTTGTAGAAGACCAGATCCTTTTCAAGTAAATGGAATATCTTCTTGACACCACTGGAAGCTAGAGTAAACCCTGAAACTTGAGTTATTCCTTAACTATATAAAAGCACTTTGTTTTTATAAGTTCATATCAAGACTGTTAGATATGGAAAGCTGTGCTTTACTATTTGTTTTAAGATTTTGTTGTTTGTGGGAGCAAACAAGTTAACTTAATAGGGCATGGATTTTCAAATTTGAGTCTTAATTTAAGCATGATTGTATTCTCAAGTGGTTTAATTACGTTAGTTTAGCTATACATAACCCAGGAGAAATCCTACTTATTTCCTAAGTAGAATTAACCCAAAGCTAGTAGAAAAATAATACTGCAGATAATGTATTTTGAATTTTTATTGAGAAATTCTGGTTTCCTCTATACCTTGATTTATATTGAAAATATAAATAGGTGCTCCAATTCAAAATATATGAGATTTTTCATAGGTAAAAATATTCTTTTTCCACATCCTTAACCATGGGGAACAGACTGTAATAAAGGGAAAAAAGCAACCTATTTTCTTTTGGTAGAACAAAGGTAGCTGTTGCCATTATATAACTTCAGGGGCACTGTGAGTAAAAGAAGTTCTTCTGCAAACCTTTCTGAATGCCAGTATGCCGCACCATATTGGTTTTTACATGTGATGTTAATTTAGGCCTGGATTCAGTTAGGTCTGCCTATTGAAGTGCCTGGGTAAATTCCTAGTAGCTCTTGATTCTCCTTGTAGTCCACATATTGTGACTATGTGTACCACATAGTCAGCATATTGTTTAAACGCAGAGTAAACTTAACTTAAACACACACCCTGTGTCTTCATGCACTGAGTAAGTTTAGTGCAAGTAGCAAAGAGGCGAATTGGTCAAAAAACCCTGTACACCTCAAACTATGAACATTTATAGCGAACATATTGCACAATTACTTTTTATAATGTAGAAGTATTTCTGGTTTTATGTTAAAGAAGTATTTTGTTGGATTGTTTTTCTTAAGTTGGATGGATGGCACTCCAGTGAATTATTTGGCATGGGCACCACATGAACCTAATTTTGCAAATAATGATGAAAACTGTGTAGTTATGTATAAGAATTTAGGTGAGTTTTATGTGTTTTTATGTGTTTGTTCCTGAATTCCATTATTTGTGTGTTTCTGTCACAACTTCTTTTTTTTTTTTTTTTTTTAAGCACCCCTTCCTCTTTTTGTTGTTCTTTTGCAAAATGTTGTGGTAATAGACCTGAGTATTATATTCAGAACTTCATAGTTTTGTACTGTTGTGCTTACCTTAGCTTAGCATGGGGAGTCTTTGATACAGGTCTGTGGTTGTGGTTGCTATACAACTGGTTTATATTTTTTATTAAGATTGGCCTAATATGCCACTATAAAATTGATATTTCTAGTACCTGGTTCTACACTGCTTTTACCATTCTGAAATTACAGTGTATATAAAAGGACATATTTATTTGAGATTATAATAAACTGAGAGACTCTGAGGATTTGATCTTATTTTTCAACTAAAAGCACTTTGTTTAAGAATGAGTGAAACTGATTTCCATTTAACCAGCTCTGGATGTGGTGTCATACAGCTCTCCATTTATCTTACATTCAGGATTTTGGAATGATATCAACTGTGGTTATCCAAATCCCTACATATGTGAAAGGCACAACAGTTCCATTAATTCAACTCTTTCTCCAACAACACTTTCAACTCCAAGAGGATGTAATCCAACTTGGCTTTCCTTTCATAATAAGGTATCATAACAAGTACAGTGCATGTTGGTTGTTTGGCAAAGTATTAAACAGGGAACTATTTAACAAGAGAATTATTTGAGAATGTTGTAAAATATTGTAAAGTAAAAATATATTTTTACTTAATAAAGTAAAATATATTTTGAAGAGAGCTGGTTGATGCCTACATGCTTTTCTGTTTGCCTATGCACTGTTTTGCAGGAAAGGTGCATTTTTGAGGCTTCTAATGAAGTGGCAGATGAGCATATCCAGTTGCAGCTGAAGGAAGTCATTCCCTAGTCACCACTTCAAACATTTTTATACGCATTTCCTGAAGAGTTTAGGCAGAGTTCCTAAAGAATTGACACTTTGAGCTTGATGTTTTTAACCAAACCATAATGCTTTTTCACTACTGAATATATTTTGTCCTCCTCAACTAACATGATATGCGTTTTGTAGAGTCAAATAAACAGGCAGGCTAATGTCAGTCATGAATAACTTACCACTGTTAGCTGACTGTCCATAAAAAGTCAGTTTTGGCTTGTTTCCTAGAGATTGCAGATCAAATCTAGTATGTGTCTTGTTGAGCAAAACATTTTCTTGAGACCTTCAATTTTATAAAAATTTCATTTTAAGCTGAATGTGGGGTTTTCTTTTCAGATAAATAAATTATTTTAGCCTTCTCTACATCCTGCTTTGCTTAAAGCAGTAGTTTTCAATCCGTGAGGAATATTGGAGTAAAGATAGTATAAAGAGAATTTGTTCATGTTTTAGTGTTACAAAGTATTTGGATCTACAGAAGATGAACGTGTCACTTGGCGGGCTGCACGAACGGCTTGCATGAATTTGGGAGGAAACCTGGCCGCTATCCCTAATGAACAAGTGCAAGGTACTGTGTGTAGTTTTGTAGCTACATGAGAGTACATGTAATCTCTGCAGGATGGCTGTTTTATTTGTGTGAATGTGGTCAGGATTTGAATAATGACTGAACATCTGATTTTTGCTCCATAACATATACTTTTTGAAAATTTTCAATGAAATCTTGGATATACCAAATTTCAGTGTTGACTTAGATTTATATATGTACGTGTATATTGCCCGGACAGCCAGAGTACCGCTTGGTCTGCTCACACGTGATATCAGCTGGACCCAGCAAGTTCCATTCCAGAAGATGTAGTTTCACTAGGTGGCAGAGGTTTGACTTGCTCAAAGACCTACCCACAACTCACCACATAGACATATCATTCTGTTCACTAGAGGAACTTATTTTAATGAACCTAGGAGCTACATCTGTGACCAGGGGAGATGAGCACAGGGAAATTACATCATGCTCGAATAAACATGGTGTATAATCAAAATAAAAATTGGGTAAGGTTTTGACAGATGTTAAAAACACCCTCTTTTTAGAAATACTGTTTTATACTACAGTTTTGAGAAACAGATGTTGTACAACACATACTGTTAGTGAACTCAAAAGAGTGTTCTGAGAAATCAACCATTGTAAAACAGGTCTGTGTTGTAATCTAAGCAATTTTAGTATAAAATGTAAATTTAAATACTTACATTCAGACTGCGGACATGAACTTAGTACTGTTTATGTTTTCCACGGGTGAAGAGATGAAGAATCAAACTTTCACTTTTCAAGCATAGTTAATTCTTATCCAACATAATTTCTGCAGTACAGGCTTCAGGTGATCGGTTCATTCACAGGGCCTGAATTCTAGGTAAAAGAGAAATGAGCAATAAAGCTATTAGCACAAAACTATCATTATTGCTGGCAGTGTAGGCCGAAAGGCTTGAGTTCCTGTTACAGTTTCTGGCAGAACAGTAATGCTAACATTTGGCAAAGAAATCTTCAGGTTTTATTCCTGTAAGCTTCAGTTGCACTCATTTTAAAAGACTAAAGGAAGGGGGATGGTTGATAGAGCAGATAGAAATTCACCTATTGTTTGCAGAGGAAAGTAAGCTCTTAACAATGACTGTCACAGCTGCAAGAGCCATGATGTGTTCATACTATCACTGTTTGATATATTGTGGATTAGTGGGTTGATAAATGCCAGCTGACCTGCTCTATTGGTGAGTTAGTTGTACTAACTAAACACATAAGCACCTTCCTGGACTGTGCAAAGCTGTGGTAATTGCTTTATTTGCTCTGTTGAGACTCATTTTAAGCACAATCACTTGTGCATTCTGTGCCCTGCTAAGACAGTGCAGGCTGCTGCTCAGGTGTTCCAGGGAGAGCAGAAACACTCTCACAGTTCTGAAACAGCACAACTTGTGCAGATACACAAGTGGTAGGTGCTCAGTGGTGCTGCCTGGCTGATGCCATTGGGAGGTAAACACTCTGGTGGGATTATCAAAGACGTATGAGATCTACACGACTGTATATTTCTGTTATTTATATTATAAATAATACATTA